TCTGCATTTTCTTTTGTACTATCTTTATAGTCTTATATTGTAGTGTGGCTCAAACCCGGTCTGAACATTCCTGGACTCCAACTGAAACAAAGCATAGATCCAATTTCTAGATAGTCACCAATTTAGTCAACTTGTGCGTAGGATTCTAAGTTGTATGTATCCTCTCCAAAAGTAACTGCCCACCTTCTAAGAGAGAGCGAATAAAGTGAGAACCCAGCTAGAGATGATAAATTTTGACATGCAAGCGGCATTTTTAGTAAAATAAATGAACTCATACTGTCACTATGAAGCTTTCTAATCCCCTATTCCTTTCCTAGTTCTACCATAAAAAATTATATATAGCAAAATCTTCACTACAGGAATCAAACATATTTGCGTCGGCCATATCAGAAGCAAATTAGATGCAAATCCAACTATATTTAAAGGCTAGCGTCGAATTTGCATCCGATTTTCGTCTAATTTTTTTCGACGTTAAATTGGGGGCGGGTAATTTTATTTCCCCTTAATTTATGTCTAAATATTCTGATGCAAATAATTTGTGTCAGATTTGTTTATACATAACGTGCGTCGAAATTTGTTTCTGTAAATATTAGATGATGAATATTAGTGTTGGATTACCATCTAATTTGCGTTGAAAAATATCGCAAAATGAGGAAATATTATTGCTGATGTAGCGTCAGATTTTGCGCCTGAAAATTGGTGCAAACACCGACGTAAACCTGTAACACAGAAAAAAAAATTAGAATATCAATTACATTTTCACAACTGACACAAAAAGTCATTTCACATCACATATCACCTTAAGCATAATCATATCACATATGAAATCTCTAAATAATATCATTAATAAAAGGAAGGTACTATCACAAATAGTTCTAAAAAAGCATATTAAAGTTAATCCAATAAATTTCACAACAAATATTTAACATAATGCATACAAATAAAAGAATCATAAAAAAAATGCTACTCATCATCTTCATCCTCCTTCTCTTCCTTCACGGATGTCATTGGATGCTTGCCCCAGCTATTGTAGCATCAATTCTTTGTTGGTCTTGTAGCATCTATTTGCACAACTGGTGGTCATGGATTGCATCCACCTGCTTGGCAAGAGCCTTCTGGTCTGGCTGTGAGGAGCTCAGGGAACTAAGAATGACACTATGAGAGTGCTCACCCTCAAAGGTTATGCCCTTCGCTCCAAGACTATAAGCCCTCGCCTTTCTTCCTCCCTACCTCTTGGGTCCAAAGCTCAGACTGCATAGTGGTAGACGGACTACCACAGCTGTTGTCATCAGTTTGGGCCCGAGTATCCAAGTGCCTCTCCTGGAGTTGTGAAATCTTCTTGCATTATGAAAACCAAAGTTTAATTTAAACTTTGAATAGTTAAAGTCAAACTAAACTCTTAAATTAAGGTTTTTAACATACAAAAACTCTCCTGGAATGCTCTGAGACCCATTGTACAATCCTCAGGTGTCGATGAGTTCAAACATGCAGCTCTGAAATGGAGGGAACACGACTCTACTCCTCGGCCTATGTAGCGTACAAAAATGATTAGTGCTAAAACATTACTTCAAAAATTGAATTAATGTTTAAATATCTAAAAAAAATCTTACCAGCCTCTTGTTGTGCTCTGTTTGGGGGACCGTTCTTCCAATATGGGGCACATCTCCCCTGGCCCCCTCCGTCACCCAATTCATCAGCCTCTTCCACTTCTAATCAGAATAGGCCCAAGCTATGGTCAACTGACCCCAGTGCCCCTCACAAATCTAGGAAGCCTACTCACCCCTCAGACGGGTGGTCGTGAACATCTCTGCAATGCGATGCGTGCTCTAAAACTCGAAGGTTCAGCGGATCTATTTGTGGTGCACTTAGAGCTAGGAGAAGGTCCTCAACAACGTAAAAAATAATCCATGTGTTAACATAAAAAATTAAACCAAATTTACAAATATTATTCAAATTACATGATCTTTGCTCAAACTACCTAAACCACATGTTTACAGGGTTACAGGTATCTGCTTCCACGACAGATAGGGCTTATCATAGTTGTTCCTGCTAATGTTTGTGATGCAGGTGATGGGTAGTTTGTGGGGAATGAATCTGCTTATAAAAAAGATTAGTTATCAGAAAACATATAGCATTTATAATAAGCATAATACAATGTTAAAAATAACTTACAAGTCCCCATCTGAAATTAAATATACCCTTGTGGGGCAGGAGTTGAAGGGTCAAGCTCAAGAAGTGTGTCACCAGCAGGTGGGGGAGGAGGTACGAAAGAAGCAAAAATTACAAGAGACGAGCTAACATCAGCTGAAGGAGCCAGTTCCATAGGAGGGTTGTGTGGGAGGAGGTGTCGTAAGAGGTGTAGTAGCAGCCAGTGGGGGAGGAGGTGTAGCAACAACAAGTGAGGGAGGTGGTTCCAGAGGAAGTGCAGCAGTAGTGGAAGTATCGACAAGAGTAGATGGACTCCTCTTACTACGGCAGGTGGTCTCAAGGGTCCTTAGAACATGGTATCTATGAGGTGGTTAACCACCTGCATCACCTGTGACCATTTACAAACAAAAGAATGATGTTAAAAAGATTAATACTAGCAGAAAAAATATTCATAAGCAGAAATAATCTATGCATTAAAGGTAAAACACAAGTATTATCTAAAAACATAAAAAAATGAGAGTAAATAATTATGCCTCAACACAATAAAAGTAAAAGATCGAAAGTAGCAGTAGTAACATTTTAATATAAAATTTGCGTACCTATGTTATTATGTTTCATTAGAAGAACTCACCGTCAAAATGAACCTAAAGTTTCTTTTTCACTCTCTTCATCTTCCCCATATAAATCATTAGCAACATCTTCAAAAACCTCTGTAGTATCCTCTAGCACAAACATTTCATCATTTGTATCGTCTCGAATAAAGAAATCTGTCATATTTTCGTCTTTATCATGAATTGGTTCTATAGAACTATGTAGCCCAATAGCTTTCTTTAGTTTATTCTTCATAACCACAACCCAATCAACTTTATCTCTTACTCAACCAGGCTAGTGAAGCTAATAAACCTGTGTAGCTTGGCGTGCCAGGACAAAAAAATCAAACTTTGCATATCGCCTGTTCAATTTGACCTCAGTGATATCATAAGGTGTGAGTGTTTGAATTCCTTGATTTGAAATAGGATTGAACCATTGACAGTTGAGCAAGTAAACAATGTAACTGATTTTACCTGGATATTGCAATTGAAACTGTCAAGTACGTCTTAATAGCAAATCTCACTGTCTGTGTGTGTGTTTCCTTTAATAGTGACACCACAGTTATATATCTTTTTCCTTTCACACTAGGAACTCATATGGAATGTATAACCATTTACATCAAATATTTGTTATATATTCACAATTTGATTAGGCCCATAGTCAAGATCTAATAATCTCTGATATGTGATTTCGTTGGTTGTATATAAACCTATAACAAATAGAGAGGTACCATTAGTGTAACCTTAAATGCGACGATCGTATTAAGCACATCTGATTAGAAGTGTTTTTTATATGTACATATAATTTGAACCATGTTGAAAATTTTGCTTCAACATTCCTACTTATCAGAGACTCATCTTCCACATTCGAGCTGTCAATAAATAATCTACTCACAATATTGTTATTTTTATTATTAAATTAGTCAATATATAACTAACATTTTCAGTAATAAATTATAATATGTATTGAGTTTGGGGACATAAACTTTATTGTATAAATAGTTGGACTTTTCCACAGTTCATCAAGACGTGCAATGCATTTGCCCAAATCTCTTTATCGCTTAGATATCGTATGTCATGTCTCCCTTATGGCTCACCTGAAATTTGATAAGCAAATAAAACCGGTTGTAGAAGCATATTACCTATAATATGAACTCTTTGATGGTCTTGCTCAAAATAATATGAGCAGAAAGTTGTCGTCTCCTGCAACAGATATATCTGCCACTTCATGTATTCACTATCTAATATGTGTTTGTCAAACCTCTTATATCATTGTCTCGAGGCTTACTTCAAATCATAGAAGTTCTTTTCCAAGCTACAGACGAAATCTACGCTTTCCCTGGAGCCTCATAACTCTATGGTTGCACCATTGATAGTTCTAGCTTTTTCCATATCTTGATGTAAAAGTTGTCTTCACATTCATTTACTTCAAATATGGACCTTCCTCTATTATTAGGCGCATCACAAGTCAGACATTTGTCAACTTCATCACATTAGAAAAGGTTTTAGTATAGTCTACTCATTCATTTTAGTGGAACTCCTTCATAATAAGCATTGTCTTGTAGCGCCTACTATCATTTGACTCCTCTTTCAACAAGTAGACTAACTTTTTGTGTACCGCTTTTTTACCATCTGATAATACTGTCAAATCTCATTTCTTGTTTGACCTTAAAAATGCATCTTGTCATCCATAGAAATCTCCCATTCCTTTGTTCTTCAACCTGAGTGGCTTCCTTATAGCACTTTGATTCACAATAATCACTTAGCTACAATAGTACTGGTTATTTAGCATGACATATATATAAGTTTATAGGTTGAATAAGTGATAAAACATAAGAATATACTATTCTCATTTGATCAAAAATTAATTTTAAAAATTAATTAGTAATGTAAATTATTATTGATTTTATTAAACGTCTTGAGATGAATTACAAATGATCATTAACTTAATAGGTGATTAATTTGATATAATTTAAATTCACTGTCTTCTGCAATTATATATTACTTGGGTGGTATGCCTAAGGCTTCTGACTCTAAAACTCCAAAGAACACATCAATTTAAAAGTCTTATTCATATTCCAACAAAACAATATAGAATCAAAAAACTTTATTGACATTGGCCACTTCGGCACGTAAACAACCCAAAAAATGAAATAAAAAAAATTACAAGGAAAAATGGATGAAGAATCATTCAAAGAATTTCATTAAAAAAAAGTCAAATGAGAAACCAGCCAAACCCAAAACGAATCAAAAGATGCAAATTCATCCATTAATGCTCCTGCAATTAGCCCGTATCTGTCCATTACTTCCAGTAAGCACTTCAATTTGCCCCATCTTGATCATGGCTGCCACAAACTTGCTCTGAAATAGCAACCAATTGCGTGCAATTTGCTGCACCAACGCGGCAGTTGAAGTGTTCGACAGAAGAGCCTGGTCAGAGCTAAAGAGTCCACGACTTGCCAGAATGCCACTGTAGTAACTGGTGTCCATTAGACTCGGGGTGTGCGGATCCATTGGTACGGTCAAGTTGGCGCTGGTGGTGTTATTCGGACACAGTTGTTTTAGCTGTGAGGCGTACGAGGGATCAAGACTTGGATCTTGGCTAACTGTCGAGTTGAAGTTGTACAAGCGCTTGCTAAAGGATGCGCAGTGGGAGCGGCCAATGGTGTGTGCTCCTGTGTTGTGATGAAATTAACATGAATTAGTTACTTAATAACATGAGTAAATTATGATGAAACAAAGCCTGAAAGAGGGACCAAGCCATATTCGTCAAATTAGAATTTGCATAGAGACTTGAAGTAATCCATATAAAGGCTCAATTTTAACTTGTTATGGTGCTTATTTCTCTCTTCGCACCAATCATTATCATCATAATTTGATTTTCCCCAGCTGTTTGTATTAAATATTATGAATTTTTATTTTGAACAAATTTTTTTTGTTCACACTTCTCTTGTTTAAATTTGCGATCCATCTCTTTTGCTTATTAGTGTTTTTTAAAATATTCTTTCAATAAATTTTAATATAATCGTGATATTACATATTCAAGTAAGAATATTATGTTAGGTATGACTCATATATCAGATAAGGGATAGATGCTCGAGTGGAACGGGACGAGCCAGCAATGTGAAGCTCGCAAGTGGAGTGACTAGATTGATAATTACATATTACACACTAGTGTTATATATATAGGTTGTATTTGTAACCCTAAGGGAATGTATTGTTTCTCGTGAAATCAGAAAGCCGCCATTTTTGCCCAAATAAATTGTCGAACCTTGTTAAATCCATGTGTTCTTTCTTATGTTCTTTGATTCCTCATTGATTTGCCCTAATTTCTCAACATATTCAAAGAATGATCTCCTACATCTCAACTAATCATTCTACAAACTTTATTAATTAATGAACACCATACTTATTCCTCTAAGTATAAAACAACCTTACCCGAGAGAGTGATCATCTCCCCTTGGCTAAGTCCTTTATTGGCAAACATCTGCGTCAATTGGCTCAGGTCGGAGGTCGGAGGAGGAAGACTTGTGGTCTCACTAGCACGGGAGATTACTCCGTCCTTACGACCGGATGGGACCTGGTATGGGAGCCCTCCACTCTGCAATGAAGATTGAAAATTATTTGAATTAGATGAGAAGCAAATATGAATGAATAATTAGCTAGCAGAGGTTTTATCACTCACGAACTGCACGCTGTCTCTAGCAGCGAAGGCGAGGATGTCAGCGCATGATACAGTTCCACTGCAAGCAGATTCAAGGCGCTTCTTTGCATTATCAATCACTTCAAAGCCCCGCAAACTTGGGTTGTTCGGCGGGGCATCTTTCTCCGCCACGTTATTGGGTGTCGAATCAATTAAAACTGAGCCATCACAGCCCTGGCCAGAAATAACAACTAATTAAATTACTGAATTTTGACGAGGAAGCGCGATATTTATGTTGACATACTACCAATTTGAACTAACTTAATGGTATAATATGCCAACATATAGTAACGTTAACTAGGGTATTAATTAATTATATACTAAACAATTAAAATTAATTTCTAATTAGCATAATCAAGCTTACTCTGACAAAGCAATCATGAAAATGCATTCTAACAAGGCCAGCTGCAAGGCCGTAATTAGTGGCTAAAGCCTTGGCAACCTCCTCCTTCACAATTATCTCAGCCTGAGGACATGTCCTGGAATAATACCCCATTTGGAGCGTCGTATTGCCCCCTACTTGTCCTACTTGGAAGCCATCAACAGCAACGGACAATAAAACAGCGAAGAGAAGCACAAAAACTTCTCTTAAAGCCATCTTCAATTCCTCCCGATCAGAGCAAAGTCTTTGGCGTTGGTGCTCTGCTGAGACTTAGTTTTTCGGCTTCTTATTTATAGCTTCGCAATTATGACAATGAGACGGAGAACTCGTCGTGGACTTCAGCAAAGTCTAATGATTGGTTTTACATTAATTAAACTTAAGATGCTGCCCTTCACGTCGGTGAACGTGCTACCTGTGACGAGCAGTTGTTAAAAGTATTTTGGCCTATAAGCTAGCCAAAAGAAGAAGAAAGCAGATTTAAGAAATTCTCCTTTCAGTCTGTTAGAATTACTGTAAGGAAAAATTAGCTCAAAGAGCTGGCTTTCAGTTTTGAAACATGATCATTGCTCTGCATAAAGTCAATGCATGAAAATTAAGAGTAATTAGTTCTGCCAAGCATCAATATTTTGGGTCGAGAAAGATAGTAAAAAGTCAACGAAATATATATGGAGAACTAATTCGACTCGAGTTCCGTGGTAGGTGTGTGCATCTGTAACAATGAAGATAGATGAAATTTTTAAAGTTAAAACAAGATAAATTCATATATGCCTTTTTCTGTGGGAAATGGCAAGTGGGAAAGCATTTTCTTACAAAGGTGGATCATATAATCAAATGACTAACTACAACAACTTTATGCCTATTATGATAATCATTTCCTGCTTATATGGAGAGATATACTAATGAGAGTGCATGGAAGATGTTATTATTATTAATGATATTAAGATCATTAAGTTCGATCATATTTTTAGAAACTTAATTGAAAAGTTTATCAAAATAACTCATCCATCTATGTTGAATATTTTTTTATAAAAAATGTACTTCTTGATTTTCATCTTTCATATATTTTACTTGAGTTAAATCATTGCTTTTCTTTTCACTTTGTTTAGCTAGATTATACAAATATTTTTTACCCACTTTAGTATCTACTTTATTATAAAGATAACTAGAAGTAGAATTTTTAATGTCACGGATTGTTCTTTCAGACTCCCTACGGGTCATTTTATATTTTACTCAATTCTCCAAGCGTTTACATTTAAGCAAATTTTAATAACATAACTTCTTATATTTTATCTTTTCTCGCACATTATTATTTTACCACCAAATATTTTTATTTATATAATTTTTTTTCTTATGATTCTCCAAGTACATATTTTGTCACCAGTTTAACAATATTTGTTATTTTATCCCACAGAGAATTTGCTTCTTCATGAGCATCCCAAATTTTGAAATTTGAAGTTTACTCAACAAAATAATTTTATTTGCCTTTTAGGTGTCCCCATCTAATTTTATGACAATGATTTCTAGTATTCTTTATTTTACAACTCTTCATCTTAAAATCCAAAATTAATAATTCATGTTAAGTACTTAAATTCTCACTTGGAATGACCTTACAATCTTTACATTCTCGACGATCTCTTCTTCTCATAAGAAAATAATCAATTTGTGTTCTATTGGATCCATTCTTATTTCTTATAGATCCATTCTTATAAGTAATAATATGTTCATCTCTTTTCTTGAATAAAGTATTACTAATAACAAAATTATTCGCTAAAACAAAATCAAATATTGCTCTATTTTCTTCATTAATCACTCCAAAACCATAGCCACTATGAATATTTCTAAAATCTTCTACCACTTTATTGACATGTCCATTTAAATCTCCCACAATAAGAAATTTTTCTTCAATAGGAATTATTTTATTAATTTTTCTTGGCTGTTCCAGAATTTTTCCTTAAAATATATATCTAAATCTACTTGAAGAACCTAAGCGCTTACAATATTAAAACTCTTAGTATCAACAACAATCTTAAGGGACTATTATTCTATCTCCAATTCTATTAATTTTCATAATATTATCTTTCAAACTCTTATACATAATTACACCTAGACCATTTCTAGTGCAACTCTTACATGAATTCCAAAGTTTAAAATATAACCTATCAACTTTCTATTCTTTTCTCCAACCATTTAGTTTTTTGAATACATAAGATATTTATCTTTCTATGATTCATTATATCAGTTAATTCCACTGATTTACCAGTGATACCACCTATATTCCAAAACTCTATTCTAATATTAGATTCATGGACTAACTTCATTGCATGAATTTGTTCATAATGTGGGAACTCTTTAATTATTTGACACTACACCCAAGTGTCGATGTAGCGGCCCTTGGACACTTTTCATTATATTAAGGTCATACAACACATTGCTTCCAAGAGAAGCCTTAACATTTACACAATAAAAAAAAAGATTTATTTCATGTTTTTTATTTTGAAAAATTTTACACTGGTTGTCGACTACCTAACGCAACCTTTCACTTTTCACATTCGAGGCTTGAGCCCGACAATGACAGTGTTTTATATATGTCAAGATAATTAAACAAAATTTGATCTAAATTAAGGTTGATAGTTCTCTTAAGAATCAGGTAATGAATTTTCTATCTCAATCTAAGAATTTAGGTTACCAAGTAGACCATATAGTTGGACATATTTATCAAGTAAAAAATTTGAGCAACATTGAGCTCATCAAAAAATATCGTTACATATTACCTTAAGAACCATTTTACATAATTAGTCTATAATTAACCATTATGATGAAGTCTACAAACTGCTTACTTTTTAAAAACTACAAAACGAAAGTATCACTAAGATTATTCCAAATTAATTCCTTAATTATTAAATGTGTAAATAATCTTGTTGCATGTTGGACCATTTACTGTGGTAGAGTGATAAATTTATTTTTTATTGTTACAAGAAATTCTAAAAAATACACAGATAATAAAATAATAGAAAGAGAAGGACAACAAAATTTTTCAAGTGAAAAAATTATGGTACCTAGCCCATCCAACAAAAAAAAATTACGATACCTAGCCCTTTCGATGGTATTCATATGCCAACTGATGGACCTTTGACTAGTTAGGCTTGACAAGATGCTTCGCCATCTGCTCTGTCTTGTTGTTTCTCGAGTGATTCGATTGTGCCCCCACAGGGGAATCACTTGAGTCAATGATGGGGTGGCTAGCATCATCCCTTTTGACAAACGACAGAAACTATGTAGTTGCCGCCCGAGCAGACCCTACCGCTTGAGCTCATGTTGAGATCTTCCCCACATGTTAACTCATCGATGCTTCAACATCTAGCTGATGAACGCCCAAAGAACCTACAGAAAAAATGTAACTCTTTGGTTCTTCCTGAAAGGTCTTTCTCTTAATCAGGATCAATTTGTTCTTTTCGATTCTTTTAAAAAATACTAGTAGAAGGAGAAGATGAGTGTATTAGATCCAAACCTGACATTATGTGGGGAACCACAACCAATGCAGGCGCTTTCATCTTCGGTTGCTTCCCCACACAAGAGACAGAGCCTTTCTCTTCGCGATCGGAGTGGCTAGCGCTACCTCTCTCTTGGCTTGATGGGCATTAGGAGCCTCCCAATCAGCTTTGGTCATCGACACAATAGTGTTTGGTTTCAGCATCTAGTAGACAATTGCCAGCTCTTGATGGCTCGAGACCCCAATGGACCAACAACTTTGCTTGGTCAATCTTGCCCATGTCAAGCAACACCTTAGTCGAAGCATTGGCCTTCGCCTTTGTGGTGCCAGCTCTTGATGGCTCGAGACACCAATGGACCAACAACTTTGCTTGGTTAACCTTGCCCATGTCAAGCAACGCCTTAGTCGAAGCATTGGCCTTCGCCTTTGTGGGGATCCCGAGTTGGAACCATCCAAATGGATCACTCATGTGAAGAAGAAGTTATGTCAAGCCGCTTGTCACCTCCCAAAAGAGCTCTTAAGGGTGGTGGGGAGCTCAGGAATTAAATACTGTTTTTTAGCCCTACACCTAGCCGATGTGGGACTTTTTGTCTGTGACGTTCTCCTCCACCCATTCACGTGACGCCCTCATCACAGATCAGCTCCATCGAGGGTTCCACTGAATCATGGAGAGTTCACACACCTGGCAGGTAATAATCTGCTTTGATACCACTTGTCACCTCCCAAAAGAGCTCTTAGGGGTGGTGGGCAGCCCAGGACTTAAATATTGCTTTTCGGCCCTACACCTAGTCGATGTGAGATTTTTTGTCCGTGACATGCTGCTTCCATTCCTTCATGTTTTTGTCTATCCTTAGAAACTGAAACTTTCCGACTGACGAGAACTGAAAAAAGTTATTTTGGCCCGACCTGAAACAAGAATATGTCGCTGAACAGATCAATGGACCATGAAATCCATCGTCTTCGGCGGAGCATTACCAACGTCATCATGGCCGCAAAAAAGAGTTAGGCAGAGCCCGAACCGGAACTGGTCCTTATAAAACAATAGGTCTATCACATAAATAGAAGTGACTCTATCCTACTAGAGACAAAAAATCAGAAAGGCGGGAGAGGAGGAAGTTGAAGAGGAACTTTACTACTGCAACTCCCTTATATATAGGGAGAGCAGAGGAATTTTAAAGGTCTTGCGGGAGTATTATTAAGAATTGTCAAATCGCCCGTACAAAAAATCCTCGATGGAGCAAAAAAAAAAAGAGACACAAATAATAAGTCGATCAGAAGATATTTATTCCATGAGAAATAATATAAAAGTTACAACATGGCACTCGAAGGTCAATCTGAAGAAGCAAAGGAAGTAACAAAGGGAGATGATGCCGATTCAACCGAGACATGCCCCAATCAAAGCAACATCATAGACAAAAGTTACCCTAAACTAGCTTGATTGATTTGACTTGAATTTTGCATGAATGACTCATACCCTCTCTCCCCAATCAAAGAGCTCCTGATGGAGGATTGTCGTTGTCTTGTCGACCCCAGTATGTCAATTCACAGCCCGTGCATGACTTCGTTCCTCTCGATAGCAGCCGCCAGAGCGAAAGAGCTCCCCATCTCATCCAGACAATGAGGCAATGACAAGGGACGTCTGAGTCCCTTTGATGGCCACTTCGCGAGTCTGGGAAAGAAGCAAGAGTTGTCGGGGCGATCAACTCCACTGTCCTCACTGAAAAGCCAACTGCCATGGCTAACGTCTGATATGCAATCTCCTTTGGACTAGTCAGACCTGCTTCTGGATTTGATGGACACAAATTGCCTGCATCAGAAATTGTATTAATAAAAAAGACAATATGACCCACAAATACCATGCAAAATCCCCTCATACCAAGTAATTGAAGCAAATCATACATTCTAAGCGACCCTGCAAGCTCAGCAGTGAGCACCAGTGAAAGCGATGAGAGTGTACCGAAAGCCACTCCATCAACCAGAACAGTCGAGAGGCCCTGGACTATAATGGGAGGTGCAACGATCGGGCCAAAGGCCTAGCCAACTGTCTGAGCTTTCCTCTACATCAAGTCAAGGATCGAGTCAGATGATTCTATTTGATCCACCTGTGGGAGTTTATTCTTTTTCCTCATGGCGAGCTTTCTCTCCTTGTCACCCTCTAGGCAATCCCGACCTTTTAGCTTTTTGAAGCATTATGAATCAGGTCCTTCCAAGGGATATCGCCATGGGCTTTCATCATCTTATCCATCACAACATAAAGATATGCAAGGTGGTCGTCTCAAACAATGAAGATTTTCGAGCGATGTAGGCATGGGAAGGAGTCCTCGTGCCCTGTTTATAAGAAATGTAAACACAAATATCAAGAGAGTTCAATTATTGAGCCATTAATTAACTCTTATTGAAATTTATTTTGTATTTAATTCTTTAATTCTTATTACAGTATTTCTTTCAAGAAGTAAGAGAATCGATAAACTAAAATTTGTATATCAAAAAGATGTAAACAATGATCTTACAGAAATCTAACGATCCATAAGGAGAGGACGCGAACTCCTACCAACAGTTTAGGTGGCAAAAAAATTGGACCAGACAAGTCAGGTGAGTCGAGTCGACCGAACCAAATTCAACTAAGTCAAAAGATATGCAGGGAGATAATTGAGTGGCTCGGAGGAGTAGCCAATCGGAAATGAGAACAGGAGAGTGCCCAAATCGTTGACCCATAGAAGGCACGTTCGACACAGTCATCTATCCTAAAGAAGAGTTGATACGACGGAAGAGCCACTCCATAAAGTATCTGCAATTGTTCAAAGCCAAAAGAATCACAAACAACAAATTAGGATGTTTCAGCCTACCGAACCCCATCAACCAAGTTTAGACGCCCTAGTTGACTCGATCGGGCCAAGTTAAATAAGCTCGAACGCCCGAGTTAAGAAGCTACCAAATGACAAGTCATACCCCAATAGAGATCATTTCAAATTGAGGGAAAAAATGTAATAACATAATATCAGTGAATCATTTATAAATAGAAGAAACGTCTAATCAAGAAAAGCATCACATTTATTGTCTCTCTCTCTCTCTCTCTTTATCTATCTTTCTCTCTTTCTCTCCCTCTCTTTTTCTTTTTAATTACACTCTATTTCTTGAACTTAATTTACGGATAATCTTAGATTCAACTATATATATTCCTTAATTACGTGTGCCCGTTAGTTCCAACTAATTAATCAAATCTTGCCCAACGTAACATACATTAAAACATAATCCAAATTAACTCCAACATCATTGACCAGTATTTGCTATACTCGACCATACTAATAAAGAAAATTCAAATCCTACTTAGTCTAATACAAAATTTAATTAACTATTCATAAGTTATTAACATTAAACATTTACGAATTTAATTAACATTAACATTTACGAATACAAATCCTCATGCTAAAAATTAATTATATTTCGTCTGATTAATTAGTCGTTACTACATAACGAAATCATATGTACATATATATTTGTATGGATCTATATATGTATATGTATATTATAATTTTAGCAATCAACACATGCTGAGTCGACTTTTTCCATAAAATTTTTTTTTTTTCTTGAGTGGAGTCGCTGAAACACGATGCCAATCAGAAAAGCAAATTTGCTAGTATCAGCTTGAACCACTGCCGCCATTCAAGCCCTCCTTAACTATCTTATCCTCTCATCTCCCTACCCCAAAACTCTTAACAGCACAAATCGTGGCCTCCACTATGCACCAAATCTTAGTTTTCACCCAAAAAAAATTAGCACAATCAACTAAAAATCATATTAAGTGCATAATTATCCACCCACAATGAACTGAGTTGAATCCATATACGGCGCCAGTGACCACTCACGTATCAAATCCGTGATCTCCACCGTGTTCTCCACATCCATATAAGCTTCACTATTTTATCCCACTTAAACCTCATCAATATATGCAACTATCTATAAAAGACAAGCAAGGATTTGAAATCGATATTATAATAATAATAAGACCATAGTTGGTTGAGAATGGGAAAGGAGAGGAGAATGGAAATGGTTTTGGGCTTTCTGGTTGCGTTGTTGAGTTGGGGCAGTGGTTTTAGAGAAGATGGCCTTCAAATGGGATTCTATTCAAGGACCTGCCCTCAGGCTGAGATGATTGTGAGGGATGAAGTGAATATGGCGCTTAGAAATGATGTGGGTTTAGCTGCAGGACTTGTGAGGATGCAGTTCCATGATTGTTTTGTTAGGGTGAGTAATCTGACTTAAAATAAGTCCTTCAAATAACAATTATTAGCTTTTGGTTTTAAATGTTTGATTGAATGGAAGGGCTGCGATGGGTCTGTTCTGATCGATTCCACACCGACGAACAAAGCGGAAAAAGACTCGCCAGTGAACAACCCAAGCCTAAGGGGCTTTGAAGTAATCGATAGGGCAAAGGAAAGACTTGAAGCTGCCTGTGAGGGAACTGTGTCCTGTGCTGATATTCTCGCTTTCGCTGCTAGAGATAGCATAGCATTTGTAAGCACTAAAAATGTGTAATTTTTTTATATAAATAGTAATTTATTTGAAAAAATTTTGAGATATAAATTTGTACTATGATAATTTGTTCTGCGTAGAGTGGAGGATTTGGATACCCTGTGCTTGGGGGAAGAAGAGATGGAAGGGTTTCTATTTTGTCAGAGACGTTCTCGAATCTGCCGAGTCCAAACTCCAACCTTAGCCAACTCATCCAGAGCTTCGCTAACAAAGGGTTTTCTCGAGAGGAAATGGTTACGCTCTCAGGTACCAACATATTGTTTATTCACTGATTAATATTTAGAAAGATTTACAAAGATGTCACTCAATTCTTATCTATTTATATATTATACTCCTAAACTTTAACTTTTACATTTATACAATTCAAACATTTCATATCACATCTAAAATATCATCATTTTAACTTTTAAAAAGCGAAATACACATTTTTTATGTATTGGTAAGGTCATATGCACGTAAAAATTGAAGTTCAGGTTTTGGGCATGCAAATACATGGGAATTGAGTGGTGAAAATTGATGATTTACTAATATATTATCACCACCATCATTGTCATGGTCGTCATCGATATCATCAACATCATCATGAGTACAACCCAACCAAACCATCTTGTTTTTGTATCTCTCTAAAGCATGAATCAAATAATCTCATCTGCCTCGTATTGCACATTGATTGTCCATTGTATTGGCTTCCTATGTGTCTAAATGATGTGGGCATGAACAGACTTCTCTCTTTAAAACAAGCTTCAAAATTATACTTGTGGGCTTTGATTAATGTAATTGTACTCCTTGTTTGTATATTGTCAGTCATTCTAATTGGCCTTTATTTTTGGATCCTTAGTTTGCATAACATACTTGATGTATTTGTGTGCTCATAACATGAATGGTTGTTAAAAGCCCATAAGACAAGATATACATTTAATTTAAATTAAATCTCTAGGGATCAACATTTTACTCTCTTTTGGCAGTATCATACAAAATAAACTTAAATAATATCACATAATTCTCAACTTAATATAGTTCAATCATTTCTTGTCACATTTCCATAGAAGTCAACTTTTGGGTCATCATATTCACTTCATTTTGCATAAACTCTATTATTTTTGTTTTTTTATCTTGCCATAGCCATATTATTTTGTAAGAAATTTTAATCCATTTGCATAATAGCTTGCATTTGTTTTAATGATGTGTTGGACTATGATCTTGCACTATATTATGATCAATATTATGATGCTCTTGTCAATATTAAAAAATAAGAAGCCAAATTTAAATTAAAATAATGTCTTACTACAATATTAATAAGTCATAGCTCAATAAATAATCAATATGCAAATTCCCTTTATTATAGCATATCAACATCAGATCTCTTACTTAGATTTAATAATATATAGAAGATAAAATTGATCACATGTCACAATTGAAAACTTACTCCACCTAAAATATTTACCTTTAATACAATTTTGAATCACATAAATCCTTGCAAAATTGTTCTCTTCATCTAATCATATATGTGATATGTGCTTATTTAACAACTTTCTAATGTGGCTAAAAATTGTTAATCTCTCATTAGGATCCGCAAGCCTTTCTTCATTTTATTTCATTTTTAGACTTTATTCAAAGACCAAAGATTGAAGTTAAATGTCTCTTTGAACATGTAAGACTCAATTAATTTGACAAGTTGGCTTTGGAATAATTCGGGAAAATTTTGCTGCTAATTTTAATATAAAAATATAACACTCGTGATTCTTCATGCCATAGAATTTCCAGCATTACAAAATCCATATACTTAGATAAATTTGATGTGTAATAATCGAGATATTTCATATCATTAAACTACATAAAGATGTCTTTTTTTTTTTCTTTTGTGTGCATCATGCTCAATTATATTAAGAGCTCGTGTATTTTGCTGAAAACATTCTCAAATACTAAGCATCTCTGTCATATTAAATTTGTACCAACATATTCCAAAATAACCAAGCATTGCTCATTCACACAATATTCGTAGGAGCTCACACAATTGGTCGGGCCCACTGCAGTTCATTCAACAACAGATTATACAACTTCAGCACCACCGATGCGCAGGACCCATCATTGGAACCGCTACTCGCAACGCAGTTAAAACAACAGTGCCCTCTAAACAACAACAATGGGAACATGGTGGTTCCAATGAATCCACGCAGCTCTTACACATTAGACTCGAGCTACTACTCAAACGTATTAGCCATGCGGGGCCTCTTCACATCTGATCAAGCTCTGTTAACCCACCCAGCAACGGCTAATCAAGTCATGAGGAATGCCTTCGATAGCTCCATGTGGCAAGATCAGTTCACTCGTGCCATGTTTAAGTTGAGCTTGCTTGGAGTAATCACGGGGACAGATGGTGAGATTAGGCTGAATTGTGGGGTGATTAATTGATCAATTTGTATAGTTACGAAAAACTTACTTTAACTACATTATGGTTCTGAATGATCAGCAGGGGAGTAGAATGATTGTGTTTGTAAACGTAATAAAAGTGTCTTTAGCTTTGAGCAGTAAGTTTCTTCATTGGGTGTTACTGCTTCTATCTTAATAGGTGTTTTATTTTACCTTAAGTTTAATAAAACTGTGCTCAAACGTGTGGGGCATTGACTAGTAATAAATTGAAGATTTTTAAGGTATTATCCCGGAAAAAAAGGTGTCCTTTATATAGATACATACCACCCAATTATTATGTATTTTTATATCTAACACTGAAATTTTGCTTGTCGGGTTTAAGTCACCAAAGCTTTCATACCACATTAAGAATACCACCATTTTAACTTTTAAAAAGTGAAATACAACCTTTTTCATGCATATATAAGGTGGTAATATAGTTAGAAGAAAAATTTTATGTATTATATATTAATAGAGATTGTACCTGAATCACAGCTGCTATCTTCATGTTCGCCTCTAGGAAAGCCCTTCCTTCTCTGCTTTCACTATACTTGCGATCTAGGCATTTTGAATTCCTTTTTCTTTTGCTTATATACTTTACATTATTTAGTATGAATATTTACTATTGTACCCTTACTTAGTCTATATGAGACTAAACCCTCTCTTATGAAAGAAAAAATGGAAAAGCAATAAAGTGCTCTTTTCTTTTTTCATCATTGAATTCTCTTCCTTCTTCAAATTTTCTTTGTGCTAACATTGGCAAGATCATTTTTATCATGGTGTCAGAGCAATAAGTTCCTGGACTCTCTGATTTTTCTCTTTCGTATTTTCTTTCTCCCCTCCCCTCCCTTGACAAACAACTTTGGTTGACAACATAGCCGCGACAGGGCCCAAGAACGACAATGAGAACATTGTTTTATACATTTTAAATGGCATTCCCTCTAGTTTTCAAGGATTCAGGACAGCCATAAGAACCCAGTTCAGTCCCATCAGTCTTGAAACACTTTACTCACTTCTTTACAATGAAGAATGTCACATAGCTAATGAAAACAAGAAGTCCTCTTCAACCACTGCTTTCCTCGCTCACAAAAATAGAAGTCAACAATAAAAAAATCCTTCCAAAACTTTTCCTTCCACTCTCAACAATCCAACCAACACCAACATTTAGTTGAAGACTCCCTTCACATGCCAAATTTGTTTCAAGCAGGGACTTACAACTAGTACATGTTGGCACAGGACCAACCTGCGTTACAAACTGCAACCACCTGCATCTACACTTGCTCTATTTACTTTCATTCAACCACAACCTTTAGAATGGATCCTTGACATAGGTGCTACGACTCATATAACTTCCCACCTTAAAAATTTCCATCAGCCCACACCATATCAAGGTTCTGATTTTATTGTTGTTTGCAACAAACACTCCACTCAAATTTCTCACACTGGTAAGGGTATTGTACTCACACCAGAGTGTCCGTCACAACTCTACCTCTTCTATGTGCCCCCCCCCCCCTCCCTCATAATCTCATTTCTTCATCAGCTTAGAAAAGATAGCAAATGACAAGTATTTTTTAAGCTAAGAAATTTTACATACATGACAAACAAAGCAAGAAAATTTTAATGACTGGCCCTACTGATCAAGGTCTCTGTAAGGCCAATGCTCACAATGTTCCATACAACCTTCTACTCCATGGCATCACAGATTCGGTCACCCACATCACAAAGTGCTTCAACACATTTCCAAAACTTACTCACATTTAAGAATCTCTCCTTCCCACATTGTATGTTCAAATCGTTTGTATAATAAAAGTCATAAAGTTCCTTCTAATTAAAGCAATACTACATACACTTTTTTAATTGCTTTATTATGATGTTTGGGGCCCATTCATGCACGCCTCTATAGAAAGGTACACTAACTATGTTACTCTTATAGATGTCTTTTTTAAATTTTGTTGGTGCATTCCAATGAAGCACAAATCTGAATTAACCTCACATTTTATCAATTTACATAAATACAATAAGAATTATTACAATAAAGATATAAAATATTATAGATCTGACAACATAGGGTAATAAAAATCTCACATTTTCTCTCAATATCTTCAGGCACATGGCATTATTCATCAATTCACCTCTCTGCACACCAGATCATAATAGTTTGGCAGAACGAGAACACCGTCATCTTGTTGAAACTGCATGTACACTCATAAACCCAGCTCACTTGCCTCCTCAATTTAGCATCGACGCTCCCCTCACAGCCATTTATCTCTTAAACGTGCTCTCATCTCCTAACACTCAATACAAGTCTGCTTTTCAACTTCTCAACAATACTCCACCCGAATATCAAAACCTCAAAATATTTGGATGTGTGTGTTTTCCTTGACAACAATCTCTAGTTTCCCACAAATTCAGCCCAAAGGCTCCAACATGTATCTTTCTCGAATACACCACGCATCACGAGGGCTTTAAAATCTTTGATATTCTTCATAAGAAAATCATCATATCTCATTATTTCATTTTCATCGATGATTTTTTCCCCTTTCAAGCCTCTCAAAGCATCTTTCAACCGCACTTATCATCTCCTCGCATTAACCCTTCCCCACATCTTACTATTTCTTCTACATTTTCCATCCCTCCATCCCTCCATCCCTTCCTTCCACAAAACCTACACTCTCCTCCAGTCACATCTCAAATAATAATTTACTCAATCCCAACTCCCATCAATCTCCCACTCCTCCTCACAGAGATTTCAATCCTTCCCCTGTGACACATCATCCTCATCCCACGTCCCCTCCTCTTCCACATCACCATATGATTAACAGGTCTATGACTGATCCTTAAAACTAAATAAATTTCTCATTATTCAACAACAACTCACTCATTCTATTCCTACAAGTTTTCATCAAAGCCCAAACTCATCCTAAATGACGTCAAGCTATGACATGTGAGATTATGGCTCTTCAGTAACAAGGGTTTTGAGATCTTGTTCATTCACCTTTAAACCAACACATTCTTAGTTCTAAGTGGACATTCAAAATCAAACACCACAATGAAGGCACTATAGCTCGCCAAAAAGCTCACCTAGTGGCCCAAGGTTGTTCCCAACAACATGGAATTGACTACACTAAAACATTCAGCCCGGTCGCCAAATTTTCCACTGTATGTATCCTAATTACCCTTGCTGTTCATGATGGCTGGACCATTTAACAACTTGATGTCTCCAACACTTTCCTTCATGGGAAGCTTGAATAAATGGTTTATATGAAGCAACCTCCTGGCTTCACAGATACTCAATTTCCTCACAACGTTTGTAAACTTCGCAAGGATATCTATGGTTTAAAACAACCTCCTCGCTAGTGGTATTCCACCTTTTGTCATTTTTTAATATGTCAACACTTTACTTTAAGTCAATCTGTCTCTACTCATACATCATCATCAAAATACCAAAACATACCTTCTGGTCTATGTCAATGATATCATCTTAAGTGGCAATTTCAACTCCGCTATTCTAACTTTTATTCATACGCTTAATCAACAATTCAAACTCAAACTTCTTCGAAAATTTTCCCAAATTCTTGGCTTACGAGTTCAAAAGACTTGCAATGGCTATTTTTTTTACAACAAACAAAATATATCAATGAACTTCTTACATCCACAGGAATGGTTTGTTGGCATCAGTTTTTGGATATCACGCATGTCAATAAATTTTATACGTCGCGCTTGTTGACCTCACTTTTGGTTGGGGTCTAGAAA